AAAAAAAAAAAAAAAAAAAAAAAAAAAAAAAAAAAAAAAAAATAGGCTTTACGAAGCGCGGACGACCGCACGCAAAGGCGACGGAGGGGCTCCGACCTCCGCATGGCGGCGGGCCCGGAGGCGGCCGGGCGGCTTCGCGACGTGCGGAAAGCCCGCGAGGAGGGCGGCGCAAGGCTGCGCGGAGCGCTGCTCGCCCGACTGCCGCTCGTCTGCGGGCCCGGGCTGACCTGACGGCGGGGACGGGGAAGGAGGAGCTCCCGGCGCTTTCCTCCGCGGAAACCGCTTCTCGCCCGATAGCGAGGGGTGCGGGAGCGAGGAGAGCAGCGGCCGGGAGACGGGAGCGGGCAGAGCAGGAGCAGGGAGGGCGGGAACGGGGAGACGGGAGCGGCGACGGCAGGCCGGTAGCGGTGCTGCGGACCGGGGGGCTCTGCCTCGCCGTCACCATCAGCGCAGCTGCGGGGCTGCCCGCAGGTGGCATCCGGAGCTGCTGGAGGCATTGGTGAACTTGTGGCGATCTGCCCGCTCCGTGCGGGTTTTTGTCTTTGCTTCTCTGTCATTAAAGAAGCGTGATGTTAAAAGTGTCCGTCAAAGCATAAATCATAGAATCTCCTTTTCCCCCTCACCCCCCCGCCTATTAGCAACGGCTTTAGGAAAGCGATAATTGCTCTTTGCTCCGGTGGCACCGTTGCAGTGTGCGGTGACGATTAACACACGGACATTGGTCGTCAAAGATTAGGAGAGCATTCCCGTGTCGTCTTTTGAATGAAATTTGTATGACGTCTGGGTAGAAACTACTCTGAGTGGACTGAATCTCTGTTTGAAAGCGTGAATTAAATCTTGGTTCCCGGGCCAAGGAAACAGCAGCATCTTCAGCTCTGCTACAGCCCCGTTTCTGGACAAACCGCTCCCATCCCTCGTGCTGCCGGTCCCGGCGCGCTGCGCTGTCGGCGCTGCTCCTTACCTGCCGGGCAGCGCTCGGAGCGGTGCAGCCGCACCTCCGCACCTCCGCACCGGGCGGGGACGGGGACAGTGCTGTCTGTTCCCGGAGCGCTGTGCACTTCCACAGGGAGCGGGGGGTCTCGATCCAGCTGAGGTCCTTTGTTGCTATGGCGACGTAAATTGAAAACTTACACTATAGTGATTTTTTTTTTTTTTTTTTTAATTTCAAAATTAAATAAGTCTGCTTCAGAATTGTGTGGGAACTCAGAAATAGTCATGCTTACACTCTTCAGCTATAGCTGTCAACAGGAGTTGTGCAGAGAGGGCTGCTGGCGGCTGTGGGCAATGGGCGGCTTCTTCCTCATATTGCCTATGATTTTTATTTGACTTCAGAAAGATTTCTTATGATGGCTCCCAGCCTTTGTCTGCAGAAGGGAGGAAACTGCCGTTATTGACCACAATGATACATATGAAGAGTTTTGCCTTTGTATAAGTATTCTGTAATAATCTTGTTAGTGAAAATCTGCATTTAAAAAGCCTTCATTGGTGATTGCTGTCAGTGAGGAAGGACACAAGCAGGATCTCCCAGGGAACTGTCTGGGAACAGTTTTCCTTGCTGTTTTCCATAATGAGTTGTGTGATGGAGCACAGAGTACTGTTACAACGCTTGCGGCGATTCCAACCATGGAATGCGTGGGCTTAAAAATTGCCCTGATGTTACTGGAGATCCAGTCTGAATCCATCCTGATAAAATTCTAGCAGAAGAAGGCACTAAGAAGGGATATCAGATGTCAAATGAGGACTGCCCCATTGAGTGAAAATAGTGCAGAAGAGTCTTGGGATTACGGCAGGCCTGTGCAGTGCTGCAAAGTAGTTGTGCAGTTCTGAGTGTCAGTGACGGGATCGTACGTAATTTTGGTTGTTTTGTGTTATTTCTCTTCTGTTCAGCACCAGTCAGACTTGGCTGAAGCACTCTTTCCAGTTTCAGGCATTACAAAAGCTCTTAAAAAAGATGTGGGCAAACAAGATAGGAGAATAGCAACCGAAACCACAAGAAGCTTAGGAAATGTAGGCTGTGAGGAGAGATGGACTTTGGTGTTTGACCTGGAAAAGAAGTAACAATGCAAGAGCATGGCAACGGTCCTCAAATGTACAAACAGCAGTCACAGAGATGGCAGTAGTCAGTTGTTCTGAGACCACCAATAGAGGGGTAAGAAGCAACTTATCAAAAAATGTGATTAGGGACATTACTGGAGGTGAAAAAAAAGCAGATCTA